CCGGCTGTGTCGAAGTGTGAACTCTTCGAGCGGGGGACTGTGAGGTACCCCTTTGTTAGTTTGGCCGGGGGCAGCGGGTGAAAATTGAGGAGTTGGGAGGAAGTGTGGTGTGCTATCGAGGGGGTCGGGCCCCTCGGTGAAGGTGAGACCAAAAGAGTTTATATAGGTTCGGGCCGCTAAGAAGCGTAACACCCTACTCCTGTGTATAATGATTTTTTCTGAGCTTTCAAAGTCTCTGAATCTCTGGTGTACAAGCTAGAGTTAGCTCAAACTTCAATCTGGGGATCCTCCTCCTTACTAGGCATGGACCTCCTTTTATACTCCAAGGGGTTACCACATGTGCTGTGAGAGCTACTTAGGGAAAAGGGAAAATATTCTCTATATTAAATGCATGTCTTGTGCCTTAACCCAAAAGTACCCAAAAGTCCTGCGCATGTAGGCTGCTGCATGGGGCCCATCAAAATGTGCCAGCTGACACAGGGGACGCCCCCGTCACACACCATTTAATGGATGAGGACTTTTGGGGTGCACGCATGCACCGGGAGCACAATCCTGGTGCGTCCGGAGTGGTCAAGCCGACTCCGGGTTGGATGAGAAGCTCAGACCTCCTCATCATAACGATGGGACAGGGCATACCTGCACACACTGCCTGACACAGGGATAGGGCGTGAGCAGCTTGTCGCTGTCCTATCTGCCATTCGACCGGTCACAAACCGGTCATAGACCGGTCACATGCCAATCAGGTGCGCAGCACACCGCATTAAATGCGGTGTGGCGCGCCTGCTCCGTGCGCACTGAATGCGGTTAGGTGGACATTGGGGGACGCCCACCTAACCTCATACGCGTAGCGGCCACTTGGTGGCCGCGGGGAGGGGTCGGGGTAGCCCGACCCCTTGGGCTTGAAAGAGATGGCCGGCACCCATCCATGGGCCCGACCCCCTTGGGGGGAGAGCCATGTGGATGCGGGGGGCGGCCTCTCCCTTCTAAGCTTCGTACCCCCGGGCCCATATCACCGGCAAGCTGTGATGATGGACGGATCCAGCGGAGGCGGCTTCTCCTGTGCGCAGGGTGGTGGCAGCGGCGGATGGGTTTGTGGTTTTGTGCTTTGGGGATGTTTTGGGGGTTTGTGATTTGTGCTAGGTTAAATCGTGTTTTGTGTGATTTGTGTCGTGTTGTTGGATGGATCTATGGTGGTTTTGTGTTGTGTGCTTTGGGGATGTTTATAGATGGATGGTGATGTGGATGTAATGGGGAGCCAACTTTTATTTGCATTCAGTACCGCCTTTGTGATGCCAATTGGGAAATCGATACCTATGGGGTTTTTTCAACCGGCACCAGTGGCCTTTTTTTTTAGTAGTGCCCTCTTCTTTCTCTTGGAGTTGCTCATCTTCATGTATCTTTTGTGTAGTTCTTGGTATGTAATACCCACTAAAGCTAACATATTATCATCCACCAAGGACATGCCTAGCACAAACTGACTTTATCTATATCTATTTAGGGGCCAACAAAGGCTTATCCGTCTCCTGCTCTTTCGCCATCTCCTTACCCTTACCCTTTCAACTTTCCCCTTTCCCCTTCCATGTTGAATTCTTTTGCCAATTGGTGGGGAACTACCGGCCTTGAGGGTAACTGGAATCTGTTAGATTAATGGGCTAGGCCCAATTAAATCCAAATAAATTCCATTGGCCCACATTAAGTGCTATGGCTAATAATACCACCTTAGAAATCTAAGTGAAGAGAACTCAACTTAAATACGGAGCTAGTGGAGAGTCTCTGTTGATTGGTTGAGATGGTGCGCGGATAGCCAGGCGGGGCGGGGCGAGGCGAGGCAGGCAGCAGCTGTTGCTGCTGTTCTCTCTCTCGTTTTGTAACTCACGGTAATAAACACAGAAAATTGATTTTGTATTAATGAGCGCGTCGGTTACGGAATTAAATGTCGTGAATTGATTCGGTTATGGAATTAAACGTCGTGAATTGATTCCGTCAGTTACGGAATTAAAGCCTTGAATTAATTCCGTATTAACGAGCGCGTCGGTTACGAAATTAAACACCGTGGTTGATGACTCCGAACGTTACTCTCGCGCTCGCATATATATACTCTGCAGCGACCAGAAGGACGCGTTGATGTTCTTCCCGAACGAGCACGTCGGTTACGAAATTAAACACCGTGGTTGATGACTCCGAATGTTACTCTCGCGCTCACATATATATGCTCTGCAGCGACCAGAAGGACGCATTGATGTTCTTCCCGACTCTTGCACTTTGAGTTCCTCCTCCTCTGTTCCCGAGCTGCAGAATCCTTCCCCGGTTCTGTTCACCTGCGTGCACAGGTGTACGGGACAAGCAGGTGCCTCCGGAACTCCGTCCGCTTGAGAACCTGCACGGGTAGGCGGGCAATCAAGTTTTTGGGTAGCGCTTCAAGTGTGACTGCTCCTGTTCTTCGTTCTTCAACGACAACATTGCATCTTCCTCTGCTTCTACTTCACCATGGCTTCTACTGGAGAGAACGGAGGAGACAACATCAACGGAGGCAATACGAATGCCTCAACATCTTCTGCACCATTCTCTGGTTATAAGATTCTAACTTTATTTGATTTTCTTCTTGTTATTTACATGTTCACAATGTTATCCATAGGATTTCAATCCTATGTGAATATCAATGATATCTATGCTTATTTTACCTTAAGCATGCTCATATTTATGTTTAGCCTTATCACTAGATCGCTTCTTATTGTGTATGTCATGTTTATTGTCCTAATATTTTGGATTAAAATATACCGAATTATGACCAAATTTCCAACAGAATCAAGGTAGCCGGGATATCATCCTAGTCCAGTAATTCGGCCCCAAGTTCTAGCGGTTCCGTCTCAATCATTTTTGCCCACCCTAGAGGTTATGTTACCCTAGTGGTTTCAACAGGCCAACAGGGTATGTTATGGGTATGTTATGTTAGTTCTAACGGTGCCGTCTCAATCAAACCTCAGTTTATAGATCAGTCGGACATGTGTAAAAACCGATTGTTTTCTTTGAGAAATAAGTTCATCTAAGGTCCCTGAACTTGTCAACGAATTCGATTTTCATCCTCGAACCTCAAAACCAGATACAATGGGTCGCTCAACTATCAAAACCGGTGTAGATAAGGTCCCTCGACGGTTTAGATGGTGGTTTTGGCTGACGTGGCGCCTACATGGCTATTTTGACTCGGTCTTCATTTGACATGGCGCTTACGTGGCAATTCGATCCAGAAAAATAATAAAACTCATGGGACCCACATGTCAGTTACACAAAAAAAATAAATATGGTGGGGCCCACGTGGGCCGCATATGTCATTCTCACCCTACCCTTCTTCCTCATCTCTCTCTATCTCCCCTCTCTTCATCTCTCTCCCCTCTCCTCTCTCTAGGTGCCACGGGACGAGGAGGTTCGGCGGCTGGCGGCACGGCGGCGGCTGGCGAGGCGGCGATGGTGGCGGCGCAAGAGAAGGGGAGGGCATCGGCGGCGGGAGCGCTGGGCAGGTTGGGGGTAGTGCCACGGGTGGTTCGGCGGCCGACGGCACGGCGGCGACGGCGGTGATGCAAGAGAAAGGGAGGGCGTCGGCATAGGCAAACGGCGATGCGCTGGCGGCTGGGGATGGCGATGGCGGCAGTGAGCTCGGCGTAGAGGAAGTCGACGTTGGGGCGGGACTTGCGGAAGGTCACGGCGCCAGGGGAGGTGGTCGGAGTGATTGAGACATGGCGAATCCACTCGTCTCCCTCCCCACCTCTACCCATGGGCCGTGGCGACTCCACAGCAGGCTCCCCCCACCCCCCGTGCGCTCCCCCTCCTCCACGCGCACCCCGCCCTCCGCGCCCCTCCGTACGACCCCCGTCTCCGGAGCTCCCGCCTGCCTCCGCTTCCGTGGGCGCCACACCGCGTCGGCGTCGGTCTCGGACTTCGACATCGGATTTCCATGGGAGGGAGAGGTGCCGCTCACCACCGCCTCCGCTGCTGGCTAGGAGGCGTCCTCCCGCGAGTCCGCTGCCACAGCGTCGCCGCGGTGGCATTCATGCCGCTCCCCCCACCGCGCTCCATCAGGAGCCGCGCCATGAAAAACGAAGGAGGAAGAAGAGCAGCAGCAGCCGCATGGGATTTAGGATGACATGTGGGAGCCACGTGGGCCCCACCATTTGTTATTATCTTTTGTGTGAAAATGACATGTGGGTCCCATGGGTATTATTATTTTTTCAAATCAAATTGCCACGTAAGCGCCACGTCAATGCCACGTCAGATGAAGACCGAGTCAAAATAGCTACGTAGGTGCCACATCAACCAAAACCATCATCTAAATCGGCGAGGGACCTAGTCTGTACCGGTTTTGATAGTTGAGAGACCCGTTATATCTGGTTTTGGGGTTCAAGGACGAAAATCGGATTCGTTGAGAAGTTCAGGGACCTCAGATGAACTTATTCCTTTCTTTGATCTCTTCCACGTTAATCTTCTACGTTAGTTAGCCAAAGTACTTGGAGTTTGGCCCATTCAAGATCCAGCCCACCTCCATATGCAGGCCCATTATAGATCCAAGAGTATTCATATACCTAATTTTTTTAATATATAAATATATATACTTTGAATGTCGCATATGTATTACCTCCTATTCTACCCCTAATCACCATCCCAAATCCAACTATATATTATTTATTAAGAGATATTATAGTCTTTTTCTCCTAACATTAATATATGCTAAACAAGCTAACGACAAATATTCTGAGGCGGAGCTAGTAAAAGATAAAATAAATAAGAACGCTGCTATACATACGACTCCAGCGTTCGACTGGCGTCCGACTCTGTTACGGTATCACTACGCATGTCAGATTCTATTACGGAGTGAGACTTTTGCCGTCTGTGCCTTTCCTTGTGGCCAGAGTCATACAGGTAGCCGGACAATAGGTCGTATGTATATCATTTTCGAATAAATAAAGCCTCAAATAGCCCAATAAGTAAGCAAACTATTTTTCTTGGGCTCCCACCTCATTAGGCACGGAGCAGGCGGCGGCCGGTGACTCGGGAGGCGGGCAGGCGGCAGGCGGCAGGCGGCGGCGGGCGCGCGCAGCTGCGGCGCTCCGAGCTCGCTGCTCGGGCTCTGGCGCAGGCGGCGGCGGCGCAGGCTGGCTGCAGGGAGGCCGGGACGAAGGCAGGCCGTGGAGGAACGGCGGCCGCAGCAGAAGTGCAAAACCCATCGGAGGGCCAGCGTCGCCGAGCCGGCAATGGCAGCGCGAGCCGCTCCGCCACCATGCCTCCACCACCCGTTCCCACCATCTCCACCCTCTCAGCGCTCCTCGCTGGCTGCGCCTCCCTCAGCACCGCCGCCGCGCTCCACGCCCACCTCCTCAAATCCTCCCGCCTCTTCCGGCCCGTCTTCCTTGCCAACTGCCTCGCAGCCGCCTACTGCCGCCTCGGCGCTGCCCCGTCCGCTGTCGCCGTGCTCCGCCACGCGCCGGAGCCCAACATATTCTCCCGCAATATCCTCCTCGGCGCCATGCTCAAGTCCCGCGATCTCCTGTCCGCGCGCAGGCTGTTCGACGAAATGCCTGACAGGGATGCCGTCGCCTACAACTCCATGATGTCAGGCTACATTGACGGTGGGCGCAACAATGAGGCGTTAAGCCTCGTTTGGACGATGTTGGAGGCAGGCGTCAGGCCTAGCGGCTTCACCTTCTCCATTATTTTGTCAGCTGTTCGGGTTGCTCGTCATGGGGTGCAGGTCCACGCAGCTGCTGTCCGCCACTGTTTTGCACATCAGAATTCTGTAGTCGGCAATGCACTCATCAATATGTATCGGCGTGTCGGCCTCTTGGAATATGCAGTGCAGGTGTTTTGGAGTATGAATGGACATGATATTGTTTCTTGGAATTCCGTCATGTCAGTGTACAGGGATGATGGCCAGAGACGTCAGGTTTTTGAGTGTTTCCGGATGATTAGGAGCCATGGATTATTTTTTGACGAGTGCAGTTTGTCCACAGTGCTCAGTGCATGCATAGATGCTGAGGATTCGTCTAAGGGTGACCAGTTGTTGACCCACTGTGTCAAAATGGGGCTCCTTAGAAATTCTCTCATTTGTAGTGCTGTTATTGGCCTATTATGTGCATCTGACAGACTTGCTGATGCTGTTTATCTTTTCAAAGGAATGGCAACATGGGACTCTGAAACGTGTAATGCAATGATATCAGGCTATGCTAGGAGTGGATTAATGGAGCAAGCTCTGGGTCTTTTCACGATGGCACTGCAAAATGGTATTCTTCCAACTGGGTTTACTTTTGCGAGCGTGCTGAGATGGAGTTCATGTTTTGGTTTGGTGGAACAAGGCACTCAAATTCATGCCCTGATTTTTAAACTTGGCCTTGAAGATGATTTAATCATTGCTACTGCGCTTGTTGACATGTACTGCAAATTAGCTTCCTTGAAACATGCCAAGAAAATCTTCAGCAGGGTTAGTTTCAAGGATTTGGTATTGTGGAATACAATGATCATTGGTCTTTCACACAATGGGAGAGGTAAAGAAGCTCTTCAAGTGTTTCGGCAGATGTTGAAGTGTAATATCCAACCAGACAGGATTACACTTTCTGGTGTTTTATCTGCTTGTAGCTTTGAAGGTCTTGTAAATGAAGGAATAAAAATGGTTTCCCTATTTGAAGACAAATACCATATTGTTCCTGGTGTGGAGCACTACACATGTGTTGTTGACATGTTAAGCCGTGCAGGAATGCTTGGAGAGGCAGTAGATTTTGTAGAGAGCAAGTTGCAAAAATGTATTGTTGCTGCTTTATCCAATGTTCTTGAGGCCTCATTGATCAAAAGGGACTTTCGCATGGCAGAATTGATTGCAGAAAAGATGACGAAATTGAAGCCTCGATCCTCACTACCGTATGTTGTTCTGGCTCAATCTTATGGTGCCAGATGTAAGTGGGAAAGCATGGCCAGGATGTGGAGGTCAATGGAAGATCAGGGGTCAAAGGAAGTTCAGGAATGTAGTTGGATCTGTACCAAGAATCGAATCCATGTGTTTACTTCTGAACAAATATTGCATCATGGTAAAGAGGCTACATATGCAGTGTTAGATCTGTTGTTTTGGGACATGATGGAACACAGATATGCTCCTTGCTGTTTTGAATTTATATCACAAGAAGAGCCCAATAACAATGAGACATCAGCTTGTCATCATCAGCTGTTCTGTGATTATTCTCCATGAGGTATATGGATGAAAAACCTACATTTTTATTGAGATCATCTCTTATTTTCACCAATCTAAATTTAGGTTGATAAGTATTATTCTAACTTTATGGTGGCAGAGATAGAGATAGAGATAGAGAGAGAGAGAGAGAGAGATAGATAGATAGATAACTTTAGTAAATAAAATGTTATCGTACAAATCAAAACTACTTTTCTCACCATACCCTCAAATCTGAATCTATTTTTTTAGTTGATCTTAACCTAAATTTAACATGGCACATGGCTGGGTTTCTGGGAACAGAAGCTGGAATGATTTAAAACTCCGGGTGTGGCTTCAGTTTTGACGTTGGTTACTAAGCCATAGTCTACCCTATAATTCACCAACACATTCTTACATTCCTTATTCCTCATTGATCAGTCCGGATCGTCTCACTGAGATCAAACGCCTCTCGTTGCTCCCACCTCTCCATCTCGCAAACCAATGGATCCCTCTCCCCACGACTTCCCCTCTCTGCCCGAAATTTGACCTTCTATCCATATTAGCCGTCGCCCATGCCATCTCCTCCTCTCTCTCTCTCGCCGCCCGTCACTTCCCCCTCCCGCGCTGCCGCCATCACCAATCTGGAAGCGCTGCTGCTACCACCGGCGCCGCGGATCAAGCGATGCCTCGTCGCCGTTGGGTCAGGGGCGACATCGCCTCTCCGCCGTACTGTCAAGGGCGCCTCCTTGTCGCCCTAATCCCTCAGCCGCCGCCATCTCCGCCAACGAAAGATCGGTGCTTCGAGTGGCTGGCGGCCGCGCCCTAACCACCGTCCCTGTGCAACAACCACAGATCGCCACCTTGCCGTCTTCTAGGCGGCACATGTCAGGTTGACCACCTCCTCCCTCCCCCTTAGCCGTCGGCGCCGCCAATCTCGCCTCCTCTGATGGGTCATCCTCTCCTGATCTTCTCTCGGGGCAACTTAATTGAATAATGGGTACATGTGAATTGTGAACGTTGCTATCATGAAACAAAGGCTTTATGAAGCCAGGTGGCGGATCAAGCCAAACTGGACCGCATTAGAGGTACAAAGACATTCTCCCTTTTCTCATCTGAATCCTGAGATGAAATCAGTTCGAATTTCGGGGAGATTGCCAAATATGTCCTATTGCATCTGTCTAGATTATTGCATATCTGTGCGCAGTACGCATCTGTAGTATAGATTAAACTTTTGGTAGCATATATAAGTTGGATCTCATATGATTAAATGGTTAATCTGATATATAAGTATTCTGCTTTGGTTGCCTAACACCTTTTTATCCCTTCACAAAAATGCCTCTCAAGTCTTTGTTATGATTTGTATAAGATTGCAACTTGGATTTGAGACACTACTCTATGTAGCAATTTACATGGTGCACTTCATTATTTTTGTTTTGACTGGTGAAACCGGGCCTCACTAATTGAAGGAATAACATATAGCTCTGCTGTGCTTGTGGTCCCCCCCTGTTGGAGCAGGTCCGCCATGGATCTTGAGCCGTGCTCATTGAGGGGATGCAGTTAGTGATGGAGTTAGAACAGGACTTAAAGGTAATAATCAAGTTAATCAGTGTCTTCCTTGCATTTTTCAATTAAACTGTAACTTCATTCACTGCAATTACATTCACGTTTTAAGCTTGGTTTTCTCATCATTTTTAATGAAGACTTAACTTGATTTTTGTGCAGCACTTTTTTTTGCAAGGAGAAGGGCAGTGGAAATCAGGGCAAGGAGAAAGGCAGTGGATTGTTCCATTTTGATTTCTCAAATTCCGACTTTATATTTCAGAAGAATAAACATTACTTCCTCTCTTTTTCTAAACAGGATCTCGCCATTCCTACCGTCGCACTACAAATTCAGGATGTTGCCAAGCCTCAGGTTGGAATGAATTGTAGCTGCCTCTGACTTCACTGAACCTTACGACATGTGGTCAGGTTCAATATCGCGCCTCCTCCCCTTTTCAGTTCCCATGCGCTATTGCCTAATGATTATCTAGATTCCCGTATGCACATTGCACGGTAGGCAATCGATGTAATGCTTACTCAGGGCAATTATATCATTGTAGCTATAGGTAATTAATGATATCATCTCCAGTGCAATTTGGTTCTCCTCGCCATAGAGTGGCTCCATTTTTCATACTGATAGACAGTGAATAGGTGAGCAGTGGAGTGCGGAATGCAAATATGACTCACTTGATTATCTAAAAAAAAAACTCTACAACCAATTCATGATGGTCGAACTGCTGAGTTGGTCACCGCTCTCCATTAGATCACCAACAGTAGTCAGATTGCTGAATCGCTGTGCTGAAATGAAAATTAAAAAAAATGATATTGTTGTTTTTAATATTTACTGGGCCATCTGAAATTTACAATCCTGAAGTTTACATTGTTATTGTCCCTTGTCGCTATAATTTGCTTCTTATATGAGTGCTTAAGTGAATTTATTACTAAACAGTACATTTAATTTCAGTGTAAAGTATCAATCTATAATTTTATTGGATTTTCGTTTCTAACAACTGAAGCTCATTTGATGATCAGTGGTTAAGCTCATGTGTTTTTTCCCCTCTAGGATTGAGTGATATGTGCTAATTGTTTGTTATATGCCATTTACACCAGTGAGTTAACAGATTTTTTGTATGATTAAAATTCAGGCCTTAAATTTAACCAGCTCTTGTCTGATGATCGGATGAAATTGGCGTGTGCCTTGTTTTTTCTTGATGGATGGACTTATCCCGTCCTGTAATCAGAGGATCAAATGATAAGTACATAAAAGGAGGCACAAATCACTTTTTTGTTCTCGATTACGTAGGAGATTTGCCCATCATTTTGTAGAGAGGAAGCATATATATCCTTTACTCAATCAGGTGGATCAGTGGCTCATGTTAGTAACTGGATTCTGATGGACAAATGAAAAGATCAGTGGCTGGATCAATAACAAAAGCAGTATATTCCAAGATGCAAAAAAGTTTTTCTTATTTCTTGAATTTTGTATCCATTTAAACCTTTTTAGGTCTTGATACTGTTTGTTCTCAATCCTTTTACACATAATTTGCATGAAAAAAACAGTGACTGACTATACTAATTTCTATCAGAAAGTGACGACTGTTGAGCTTGTTGCGTGCCATACATCAAAATGGGAAAATTGGGGGAAGCAGTAGACAAGTTGCTCTGCTGTGTATTAATGAACCAGTTAACAGTAGGCATGATGGAAAGATTCGGGAAATATGACGAGATGCTTGAACCGGGATAGCCCTCTGCCATGGGATAATTGGAACCTGTGCAGCTGTGCTACTGGTGAGCTCAGGATAAGGCATATGCAGCTATACGTACGTTGCGAGATAAAGGCAGAGGTACTATGACATATATTACTTCTCACAAGTTAAGAAGTACTATCTGTTTATCTTCTCCATGCATCACATTTGCTGATAAATGAGTAATATGAAGCACTTGCAAAAAGTGTGCTCTATCTGGCTTTATTACTATCATATAAAAAGTTAAAGAAAATGGTGATCATTTTAGAGATAAGGAATATATTCATGTGGGAATTTCAGTTTTTGGTAGACTATTTTAAAGACAAATAGTGACTCGTTCCATTGCTTGACATGAACAACTGACTGGTGTATGAATGATCAGCATTGTCAGTCATATTTTCTACCTATGTACCTGTTCCAATAGATGCAACTTGTGAAATCAAAATTTTCTTCCATGTTTACATGTTCCTCTATTGATTTTTTTTTCTGGATTGTAAGATACTACTACTAGATATTTTGTGTTTTCCCTTATGAGCTCCACCTCCACTTATGGCCAGTTTTTTTTTGAGGGAATGCCATTCGGCTAGCTTTATTGATCATTAAACATTGTTACATCGTTTGCCAAAGTGCTTAGAATATAACCAGGAGGTTCATCGACCCAAGTACACTTATGGCCAGTTACTTACACTTATTTTCCTCTATTTGTCTCAGAACAGATCAGTGTGTTATAAGTTTTAATTAAACTGAATTGGGGAGATTGTGTGAAGTGCAGGGAAGGGAACAGTATTCTCTTTATCGAAAATCTCTGTTGATCCTGAAGAATGGTGATATGTACGTTTGACTCGCGCTTATTTATTGGCATGGCTTTGAACAAGTGAAATTTGATCAAAGATTCAGTAGTGAGAATATGGGAGATATGCTATGAAGGGACGACATGCGAGTTATTTGTGTCCAATTCACACATGATTTTATCTATCTTGAACTTTTTTTGTCCGGATGTACAAATGTCCATTATGGAGGAAACCGTGTACTATTGCCTGCTCATAACATTCTTTACTGCTAGGTGAAACCTCTAGCATTACTGCGGGAGTTTAGTATGATAATAATAAGTAAAAATAATATGTAAAATAGCCTAAACAACATAAGCTTACGTAAGTTGATGTGGTTTATGATAATTTAAATATAAATAGTATATACAATGATGATTCAAATGTAAAAGTAAGGTGATGTGGCTTTATGAGAGAAGAAAAAATGAGATAGTTTTGACTATAGATTAATCATCTAAGGGCTAAAAACAAGAGAAAATTGACGTGATATGACTTAATGAGAAGAAAAGGAGAGAGATAATTTGGACTATAAATTAATCATCTAAAGACTAAAAGCAATTGATGTGATATGGCTTAATGAGAAAAGAGAAAAGTAAAATTAACTAAGGATAAACTATATAGGTATATAGGATATTATAGGGTAGATGATCATTTAACATGCTTGCATTTTAAAAGCTCTAAAATTTAATAATTATAAAAATATAGATAATATAGCATGCTTGCGATGTTTAAATGTAATAATTGTAGTGGATGATGATGTGGCATCTTTACATATTAAGCTTTAGAATTTAGTTGTAAGATAGGATTCACATGCCATTTGGCTCGCAACTATGTTGGATAGTTTTTCTTTTGTGCGACATTAGTTTGATGTGGACACTTACGATGTGAAGAAAAACATTTGTGGACTAAATTTCTTGTGCATCTATGGAATTATTACAATTTTGAAACATGTCATTTTCATTTCAAAATATAATCGTAGCGTTAGCACATGCATATTACTAGTAGTTATGAAGTTGAGTTATGTAGTTCTGTAATGTTGAGGTTTGTTTTTTAGTGAACAATTATGGTGTTAGTTATCAAGCCATCCTTTTTTGGTTTTGGCGAAACTTTTGTCCTAAGGTACTGTGTTTTATCCCTGCCTTGAGAGTTTTTTTTCCTTCATGCTGTTCAAATCCCTGTTATGATGCCTATAGAAAGTAAGTACTATAAATAGTAAGGAATGCCTATAGAAAGGAATAAGGAGCGGTAATGCAATAAGGAATTATTCATTTTAGGCACATGCGCCCATAATGTTCCATTTAATCTGAATCCTTAAGTCTGAACACTATGCCGGAACTTGGCAATTGCATACTGGATGCATCTTTGGATGTAGAGGCTGGATTAATATCAATTATTTAAAAACTTGGCAATAGCAGAATTTCATAGTTATGTGTCTGCATATAGAACAGGTTAAATAAAGGAACACACATATATAACTAATACCAAAGCCGCAAGGGTTCTTTTTCATAGGAATGGAAAGTCGAGTTTAGAGTGTTCTGAATGTTATGTGTAATTTAGAAGTGCTGCCAAAAAAAGAAAAGAAAAACTACATCTTTGTTTATCCAGGGTCAAACTGATCTGTAGAACTGTGTTGAGGCCATCCGGTCCAGGTGATGCATATCTCTTTATCCCTTTCAGTTTCTTCAGGATTTCATGTTCATCTTCGATAGATATAGTCGATCCATCTTTACTGACTTGTATCACTGAGTAGCAACTAGAATCTGTTCATCATTGAATCAGTCATCGCCAATCTGCAGTTACATGCCATGGACTCTTTTTCTGGCCATTGGAACAATTTTCTTTTGTTGCCCTTGTAACGCAGAAGTGCTTTTGATGGTGCAGTCTTCATCGAGCATTGATTCGCCTTTTCACTTGGTCACCCGTGGTGACTACTCTGCTGCCATGACCCCCTATCCGGCTATCCACTAAACTCACTCACCATGGGTGACAGAGACATTCAGTAGTAGATGAACAACACAAGATATGGGCCTTCCAGGTCAATAATCATTGAGAACGACAGGTAATTCAATAAAATCATATTGCAGTTCCGATTCAGTGAAATTTCATTACACTTTCATTTGTGTAGCAGTGTGTGTCATTTTGATTAAGGATTTTGAGGCAATGAGCCCATAGATCATAATATACATTCCCTAATGCTGATGGTGATTTGCCCTGACAAAAAATTGGAAACCCAGGTTTGTCACAACTTAGTTTGACCTGCCATGCAGACTATAGCTGATACCTGGTTGCTCATATGCCGAACACAATTCCAGTTGATTTACTTCTTGACCAACACATGTATTTAGATATAATTGATGTGTATAGCCATTTGTGAAAAAGGTTTCCGTTTTGTGTGCATCATTTAGAGAACATACCCTGTTCAAACCACACTGCACCTTTGGTTTGTTATATTTTTCCATTCATTTGCCAGATTTTTTTTGTTTCTGTTAATGAAGGCAAGAAACACATTTAGATAAGTTTGTTGTACTACTTACGAAAACCATAATCAACTTTTTTTA